AGGGGTCGAAAAAAACCGTGCCCAGCATTCAATCAGTCATGTTCAACTGAGCACAGGACGACAAAAGCTCTGTCTGTGAAAGCCTAAAAGTCTACGTTCGGGGAAGTTGCACTTCGTGTGGCTTGCCTGTTGTACGGACACGCACCCAATAACTTTGCGTAGTTTTCGGCTTCATTTCGGCTCAGACAGCTGCTTTCGGACTCTCCTTGGCCGGGGTTCACCGTGGTTGGTTGCAAGATGTTGCAAGCACAACGTTCGGAGACCTTACAATCTTACGAGCTCTCCCAAAGTGCAAGGCCAAGGCTTCCTTTTAGAGGCCAGGCCAGGCCAGACAAGCTTGCCGGGATGGGGGCCTCGCCTCGCAAAGACGAAAGCGCTGTTGCTTGAGATTTTAAGTTGAATGCTCCAAGCGATTTGTCGAGGATGGGGTAACTGGGTAACTCCGACCCTTTGGCCATCTCTAGCCTTTCCATAGCAAGAACGACAACTCAAAAGCCAACGCCGGCACGAGCGGGCAATCACAGGGTTGCTGACGTGGACTCATGCACAGCGAAAGGACTTGTTCAAGGGAACATAATTAGAAACACGACGAGGGATCTGTGCCAGGTACACATACCAAGTAGAAACGGCATGATTCTGGCAGGATTTCCTTCCGGGTGGAGACCTGTATCATCTGCATGATAAAGGCGGAAGCTGCACCTCAGGGTTGTCGTAGAAGGTCTTGTGCAGTTGAAAGTGGGAGCAGCGTTTACCTTGAGATGATTGTGTGGCAGCTTCCACAGCAGCTGCAGGCCCAGCCCTCGCTGAGCAGCCCCGGCCTCAACAGCTGAAGAGCGGGAGCGGGAGCGGGCCGCGGCGGAAGTGTGTCTTGTCAGGTTCATGTCCTCTTCCTCGCTGCCTCCCGAAGCTGCGCTGATCTTTCCGGCCTTGGACAGGGCCTGCAGGCCAGCCGCGATGGTCAGCCGCCCCCCTTCTGCTTACCGGCCTGCTTTGCCCAGGCAGAGACGGCAGAGATTTGGCCTGCATGGGGCCACCTGGAAGCTGCAGACTTTTTTGTAGTTAGCATTGAAGTTGGCACCCTGTACTTCTGAACTGACTAATCTGTAAACGGCCAAAGAGCAGCATCTAGTCATCTGGGTCCTTCACTCCAGGTTCTTGTTGGTTTTTTACTTGTATGTTACAGTGCTTGTCCTTGTCCGTGTGGCAGCCCGGAGACAAGCATTCAGTGGGTTGAGGCGACTATGGCGCATGGGTTCTTGTGAGACTTCATGGCATCTCCTTGAAGCCGGCGGTCCTGTACACAACACCAACTACCTTGGTGGTACTGTATGCTGGCCCCACAGTTTCCAACGAGGAATTGGGTGCCAGTCTAGCTTCTCATGTTTCCTCGACGATAGTCGGCGACCTTCAACACGCGACCGGCGTGTAGAGATTAAATGGCAAAATGCATGCCTTGCAGTGCGCTTGAACTACATGTGTCAATAGGCTCTGTGAGTGGCACACCATGATGAACCCAGTCGGCCTGTCACGTATCTGCGACGTTGTTAGCAGGGCTGAGTTTCCTGGCTCTTGTGCTATGATTTCGAGGTACTACAAACAGCGCTATACGCTCTTCTCCAGGCTGGAGCCCCAGATGTGGCATCCACATGAACCTGTTTTCAAATCTTTTTTATGCGCCCGCATGTAGACAATCAAATCCAGTAGATTTGCCATATCATCAGGGTGGTTGGTATACCCATACACAATCCGCGCACGTGTCCAAGTGCGTTGGTATGTAAGTGTGTTGGTACGTGCACGCTCGTCTCTGCACCCATCCGTGCAAACCCACGCACATTCCTGCAGATGCACGAAATCCACACAGACTTGGCAACATACCGACACACACACACACCCACACGCGCACGCACGCACGCGCACGCGCACACACACACACACACACACACACGAACGTGCACACACACACAAAACAGCTGAAAGATGAGAATGACGATCCTGCTTGTAGCGCCCGAGTCTTGGGTTGGTGACGAAAATGATATGAAGATGGTGATGGGTTCGTAAATGCACTCCACTGAACACGATTGGTTGCCGTGAATGCTTGCCCTTTCGGCGATCTTTGAAGTCAAGCATGGTATGCTGTGCATTCAGCTACCCGGATTCCCAGACGCACATCCCATCCCATCGTCGCCAACGTACTGGTCTTAATTTTTCATGCATTCTGTGACGAATGTTCATCCAACTCTGTATCTTGTGCCCGGCATGCTGCTTTGATGTGTTCAAGTCATGAGGCCTTTCACCACAGTAGAAGAATCCATAAGTAACCAGCACGGATTCATAAAAGAAGAACCCAGGGCTTGACTGTGCGGAACTCATTGTGCTGAGGACAAAGCGAAACGATGCACAGTGTAGATCCGCGTGCAAGGGGATTCTGCGCTTGGCCCCGTGCTATTCCGAATTTGTGGGTACGTCAAAGGGATGTCTCCACTTGAAATCCAACACTCTTACAGACAGACTTGCGCTCTCTGTCTATCAACGAGACGAAAGAAACCATTTTCATAGGTCCTTAAAGGCCTGTTCTGGTACTATCAGGTACGACCATGGCATCGAGATTGACAAGGCCAGCCATCTGATGCGCTTGCTGGCTTACTTCCCGAGTCTCACGGTCGATTACGGGACCGCCCAAAGCCTGGAGGATATGTGGTATTCAGTAACACCAGAGCCGATTGCCAAAGAGCAGGCTCGAAAGGCCAGCATTGGGCATGGGTAGGTCGCCAGGTTTCGTGGTGTTTTGAGCCATGTCCTCGAATGCCCTCCCCTCCGGCACGTAGCATTCAATCCGTAGCTGCTTGTCTTGGCACAGTATTTGGGTGGGGATTCAAGCTTGCAACATTGCATAGCAGCCCACACACACACCAGTACGTCCCTCGCGACATGGGACGTCAACGTCTTAGTGGTTCTACCATGTTCTACCAATATAAGCAGGGATGAAGGATGGTTGCAGAAGCTACTTTGAAAGTAGACCGGGCAATGTGATGAGTTGTAGAGGGCCTGCTCTCGCACGTGACTTTGAACCAGTCGGCTGAAGGTGGCAGCTGCGCAGAGAGGCACGGGCTTCTGTGGTACATGTGCGGGTCACTGGCACGAGGCTGAGTCTAAAAGCCCGTGTGCCTTTGTTGCGGCGGCTCCAAAAGGCCGACTCCTGCCATAGGAAACTCAATGAGTTTCTGTGTCGGGTAGGATGCGTGGTTTGCAGGGTGTAGTAGGCTCGAGATGGGCCTTCAAAGGCCCTATCGCCCGAGGCCCTTGGCAATTCAACGCGTTCACACTCACAGCTTTGCTTTGGACGTCATCAGCCATTCCCCGCGCTCCCGCTCAGACTGTTGTCAGGCCAGCCTGGCATCGTTGTTGACAGCTTCTGTGGTGCTGGCGGGCCTGTCACCCAAATCGGAGTGCTTGCGTCGACCTCGAAGAACAACGTATACTGACTTCACCAGGCAGTGCACCAGGTGCAGCACTTGTAATCACAGGTGGACACCCGCAGGCAGAGGCTCATACACTCATTACACAGCCCGCGAAGCCGCGAGAGAGGGAGGAAATCGGTCGAAGTTGCAAATCGAAGTCTGAAGTCCAGCCAGTGCGATTCTGAAACGTTCTTTTGCAGGTTTGAGCAATCCTAAAGTCTGCAGCCTTTGCCGCCATGGCGCTGCTTTCGACGGCCGATCTCCGTGAGGAGTTGAAGCATTTTGCCCCGGACCAAGACCCAGACCAACGGGTCATTTTCAGGAAGTTCCATGCTTTGTCCCTGTCCCGGATATGACACCAGGCTAGCACTGCCATTCGCGAAGAGCTAGCCACGCTGAAGGCCTCTGTTTGCGTGCTTCGGAAGTTGCCAGTGCCTGGACCGGGAGCTGTTGGGCACAGGCAAGTCTCCTCAGCGAGTTGGGCGCCGTGGAATGTGAGCAGGCAGAACGCAGCAGTGATTGCACAGGTCGACACAGGTGTGCGGCATGCACCCACACACACCCACACAAATCCCCGCGCCACATGTCCAAATCCACTTTGGAGCAATTTGTTGCCAGCCACCTTCTCTAGCAGCACAGCACTGAAAACCACTCCCCTGTCAGTTTTGATGGCCTCCAGGCTACCTTTGCCACCAGTAAACAACAAAAGCCAGTTGTACACAGTGCGCAGGCCGAACCATGCCGGAAGCTGGTTGTGGAAGCCAAGCATGGTGCGGCGCCGGGCGAGGCTTTGAGCGGCGCTTCCGTTAGTTTGCTGATGACTCCTTGGCGAGAAATCTCAGATGATATTCATGTTTCGGTCAGTGACGCAGATGGAACGCAAGCAAGTTTGGGTACGCAAGTAAACTAATCGGCCAGATGGCTGTTCTGGGCAGGACCAAGTGCGCAGCACAGGCAGTCACAGCAGGTGCCTCTGCGTGCTGTGACCAGCTGTCCTGGCTGAGAATGTTGCGTAAGGTAAGCCCCACTTGTATGCCACTTTTGTTGGGGAGAACCGAATTGATAGGGCTGCCTTTCCGGGAAGATGCCAGGAATCGAGTGCAAGCGGACCGCTCGTTTCGGTGCTTCGGTTCTAAGTAACCTGTGTTCCGCAATAGTCTCCAAACGCCCGTGAAACTTGGCATCAGTCGAGTTCGGAAAGTCTGTCACGGAGCATAGATGGGCGCTTGCTAAGTGTTCAAATCATCGAAGTGGGGCATGCTGAGCGCCCCAAGTGCGTGCATGTAAAGTATCTAAAGTTCAGGCTCAGGTCTGAGGTCATGCTGTTGGTAATCCGCCAGAACTCCCCACCGGCATCCTGAGAGCCTTTGCAGGGACGCACATTTGCTTCCGACAGACGCAAAGGAAGCAGCGGTCATCCGAGACATGAACGTGCCCAAGCTGCAGCTAAAAGGAGACACGAAAGCGCGTCAATCATGGAATTGGTTTCCAGGCAAGTGTGCGATACATGGGCCTGCATGGTGGCGCAGAGAATGATGGACGGTCCAATTCAAGATGGCACCTTCGCTATAGAAATTGAGCCGGCGCGGCGCGTCAATCCTGTTTTGAATGCCAGAGTTGCAACTTTGACAGCTCGTAAGAATCAGTAAGACTCGTCTCGCAACTGCATCCTCAGTTCGGCATTCATGAATTATTGCGCCGACATCATCCACAACCACTACTTCGAAGTGGCTCGGCAGCCGAAAAGCAGCCTACTGACTGCAGCAGCTGCTTCACCCCCATGAGAGCTGCAGCTTTGTGCGTGTTCGCACTGGCTAGGTGTTCGATGCGGTTGTTTTTGCAGACGTTTCAACTGTCTTGGACAGGGGCGACTTCAACACTTCATCAAAGCTGCCAGGGAGTGGGATCATGGCGCTATTGTCGGACACGAGCTAGGAAATCTCGGCAGCAACGAGCATTCCAGCCCTGCCAAGATGATGAGTGCCTGGCTTGTCGTCATGAACGCAATCTGGATCGGCATCAGCACGGATGCTCGACCGATGATTTCGTTGGATGTTGTGTCCGATGTATATTTAGTCAGTTTGTTCGCGCGTGTGGACGTTTTTGAGCGGTAGCTCCTTTTGTCTAAGTTCTGGGAGAGATGTCTGGACCCAAGGATTGGGTAGCACGGAACTGGACCACGACTGTGCCAGATTGGTTCCACTACACAGCCTCCTGGCAAAACTGGGCATGGCCATGTTGCTGGTGCTGCGATCACACGCGGTTGATGCTCCAACTGAAACTGAGCCCAAACAAAGCCAAGCTGTTGTTGCCAACTCGAACCGTGTCCGTCTCTGAGATCGGAGCGAAGTGAGCTCAATGTCCTCCAGAAGGGTGGGCTTCAATCTCGAAACGAGAACATGAGAGTCACGCCCTTGTCGGGGTCAAGTAGCTTCAGAGGATTGGATCTTCTGTCTCCTGGCCGTCGGGGAACTGTTCATCCGCATCGGAGCCCAGGGTTGTGCCTTCTTCTACGAGGACAGAGGCATCTCAGGCAATTCGCTGATTCAAGCTTTCGCTTACGCCTGTTTGCTTCCGGCGGCAAGTTTCACTCCTCATTGCGGCGGGTTCCGTTTGTGGCGTGACATGCTGAATTTGAGGCGCAGCTTTCGAACTGGTCCCACGGCCCTGTCGTCATACAAGCCTGCACCATTCCATATCTGGTCAGGACCATTGGCGGTGGAATCTGTTTGACACACTTGTGGTGGTCACACAAATCGCCGATCTTGTTATCAGTAGCTCGTCTGCACGGGCTCGAGATGTTGGACATGTGCTCTTTGCAACATGCTCCCGTGTCAGGCGTTATTGAGCGGTCCGTCAGTGAAGCGGCCAGCCAGCGCCCAAGTCAGCCAGCTCTCTGCTAGTGACTTTCTCGCGTTTTCATAAGACACCAAAAGACGTTTCACACCCATTACGTTTCTGCGGTAAACGCTAACACAGCCCGTGGCCTCGCAGAAGTCGGATGCATCTGTGCCGAAGTTACCACCATCGCGCCACAGTGAGAACGGACACCAGTATCTCTTGCAGCCAGAGCAAAACGTACAAGCACGCTAAGCAGGCACTTGGCAATAATGCGGGTGCCTGTCAGTACACTGCACAATCTCACAAGCGACAGCCCTGAATCTGCCCAGCAGTTTGCCTTGAGGTCTCAGAGTGCTGAAACTCGCATCTTGTCTGGACTTCTAGTGCACCTTTGAGAGCTGGTGAAGAGGGTGCGAACTGCTGCTGGCTTGTGCACAGTCTTGAAGGGGATAGGGCCACATGTCCAAAATCTGTAAGATTTAGCCAAGGTGCGGATCCTGCGCATCGCTCGCATCGCCTCAGCTTTTCCCGAACTGCACATATTGATCAGTTCCATAATTGAGACTCAGCATCGTTAGCTTTGTCTTGGACATACTGGACATCATTCCCCACCGCTGAAGTCGCAGAAATTGGCGGCCAAGTTTACCCAACGCTCAGGACTCGCTCCAGTCTCTTTTCTGGACGATGGTCCTGATCTTTGCCTGTCTCTACGGGGTTGCGGTAGCCACCTGCCCGCAGCACGAGTCACCGAACTCGAACACACTCTAATCCATGGAGCATGACCCTCCTGATGGGAAGGGCCGATCAACAGCGGAGGAGGTTAGATAGGGAACCAGAAGGAATGAAAGGGGGAGGCCACGTCCTTGGGAGGAAGAATAGACGATGCGGAAGCGACGCAGAGCACGTGATTACAACGCAGGCACGGCTGAGAATTGCTGACGTCTGTGCCAGGTGATCACACAGGTCGTTTCAGACCACAAGATCGCGATAGGCTGCCGGTTGCTTGTTTTCGACCAAAGGGATTTGCTCTACAACGGGCGGCTGTGCAATTTCTACTGTGTCGATCATCCCTCACAACTTACTATCTTGTCATCTGCAAGGCGCAGTGGGAACCAAAGTATGCCCTTTCGGTTTGTTGCTTCCTTGGTGAGGCCGAGAAGTCATGGAGCAGCGCCACGAGTCACTCGGCGAGGGAACACTAGCGCCAGAATCGAATCCCGTAGCTGCTTGCTTGGTTTTGAGCGATGAGTGGTAGCCTCGCGGCAAGGGAAATGCTTCACTTCTTTGGATCTTTGGACTCCACGATGGTGGCTCTCTACATGGCTACTCTGATGATCATCAGCGGTATGCGGAAGGAATCTGTCCGGCCTTTTTGCGTCAGGTTCTTCTGCCTGTTCGGCACTGTAGTAAACTTGCCATCCCCAGTTAAAGTGCGGAGTTGTTCTGAGTTTGGTAACCTGAGCTCCGATTGATATTGAGGTAATCTCTGAGGGCATCCATTGGCACCCGGGCTTGGATCAGTTTCATGTGAGTTGCGGGGCTCATGTCAAGCTGCCAAGCCCAGGAGTGAGTTGATGAACCAACTTGAAGAGACTTTGGGTGGGTGGGTGCGTTTCCTCTTCGTCGCCTTCACAGGACGGGTAATTAGAGAAGCAGCTTGCCCGGCGCAGAGCATGCCGTAATCGCATGTATCAGTTTGTTCCATGTTGGTTTTGCTTTCATGTGGCTTTTGCGATCAATGTTGCCACCCATACTGCGAGGATTCGAGCTGTTTGCGATGATGAACATTATTACCGCGTGCTTTGTAGCTTGCCTGTCTGCTGGCATACGACGAATCACGAGTTTGAAGTGGATATCCGAGCAGCTGAGGTAGATTCGGTCCTGGGCTCAGAACACGCAGCACCTTGAGCAAGATGGTAATTGTAAACAGCTGGCGGATGCTGACGGTCGGCTGTGCGTGCTTCCCATCATTTCCCACCACCTTCGTAGCATGCTCAGGCTGACGGCTGCAAGGTAGTCATATGTAAGCAGAAGCGCCAGGAGCTTCAAGCATGTGGTCTGGCATCACTTCGAAGCAGCGCCTACCCCGGCCCACCTGCGGACTCTGTAAACTCTAGTTCCTTGGACTAGCGAGTCATTGCGATATTGCCCGCAACGAAGGACAGTCAACATGCGAACGGGTCTAGTGCCAAAGTAGAACCACGATCAGAAGAAATAAGCGGTCCGAACAAGTTGCGACGAGCGCAACAGAACTAGTTGATGTGCCTGCCTATTCAAAAAGGTGGGCCTGTTTAATGCGTTTTTTAATTCAAGCCGGGACCCATAATTTGGGTGTCGCTAATTAATGTTTTTTTTGGCCTGTCATTTTTTAGTTGTGTTGCTTCCGTGCTAGCTATGGTCAATCTTAAAGCAGCCACGACCTAAAACCCCCCTCCAAACCCTTCGAAACCCCCTAAACTCGAAACGTGGCCTAAGCAAACCCCCCAAACCCAAAGAACTCTCTTAAACCCTCCCAAACCCGTCTACTCAAGCCCCCTGACGGCCATATCTCACCGAATGCA